GACTTCCATGGTGAATCTGATGGCTGGGTGTATGGAATTGATGTGGTCGAGAAATTGGTCTAGAGCAGGCCGGCCATGTGGCCAGATGACAAAAGTGTCGTCTACGTACCTCTTCCATAAGGTCGGGCGTAGAGTGGCAGTCTGGATGGCGTCCGTCTCAAATTTCTCCATGAAGATGTTGGCTACAACCGGAGATAGGGGGGAGCCCATTGGGGTGCCCTCAATTTGCTTGTAGAAGGTTCCATTCCAGGTGAAGTATGTATTGGTTAAGCAGTGTCTCACCAGGGGGGGTACCCCAGCATTCAGTCCTTGATGAACCAAGTCTTCAATGATTGCGATGGTGTCAGGCACAGGCACCTTGGTGAACAAGGAAACCACATCAAAACTGACAAGCAGGTCGTCTGGGGACAGGGCAATCCCCTTGATTGTCGATACCAGGTCAGTAGAGTTTAGTACTGCAGAGGTGGTTTTTCCAGTGAAAGGCCGTAGGATTTCGGACAAAAAACGAGCCAGTTTGTAAGTGGGGGAGTTGATAGTAGAAACAATGGGACGAAGAGGTGTATCTTCTTTATGTATCTTTGGCAAGCCGTACAATCTTGGTGGTCTGGCTGCAGAAGGTTTCAACGAGAACTGTTTGGTCTGATCAATTAATGCGGTTGAAGCAGAAATGATGTTGTTGGTTTTGGAGACGAGGCTGTTGGTGGGGTCTCTTTTTATTTTTGTATAGCTGCCATCGTTGAGTAGTTCTTGAATTTTGTTGTTGTATTCTATTTTGTCCATGATGACAGTGGCATTGCCTTTGTCGGCTGAGAGGATGACAATGTCATCCCTCTTTTTTAATTGAGCTAATTCAAAACGCTCATCTTTGCTGATGTTGCTAGCTGGCATTTTAGCGTTTTTGAGGGTTACAGAGATTTCAGATCTTGCTACGTCTGCAGCGATGTGACTCAAGCCCTTGAGAGCTACATCTACTCGAGCAATTATATCATTAACTGGTATGTGTCTAGGTGTGACTGCAAAGTTTAGTCCTTTAGCTAAAACGGATTTCAAACCTTCAGAAATAGGACTGTTACTGCGGTTAATTACGACTTTGTTAACATCTAGCTTTTCAATGTGTGGGTCCGGTTTCTTGTTTGAGAGGCGGTTGAATTTGGAAATCAAGTTGTCCTTACATTTAGTCGACATAGCGGCAGCTGAAGAGGCAGTCATTTTTTCCACATGTTCCCAATCCGATGTGGACATTGTTACACTCAAAGATAAGTGTGATTTGTAGAGTGTCTTGTCTAACTGATCTAGTTCGGTGCGCGTAAGTCTGATTTTCTCTGAGATAAGAGCTAAGCTAGTTCTAGACAGAATTCGTTTCGCATTAGAAGAAGTTACAGCAGCAGATGTTAGTGTAAATGCGTTTGGTATTACCTTAGAGTCGCGGCATCTCTTCAGAAAGGTGAGAGACTCGATTAGCTGAGCCTTCTTATCCCGGAGCTTGTTGAAGGATCTCAAAGTTATGTGGAAACCCTCCCCGTAGAGGCGGTTAAATTTCGATTTAAAGCTTTCGTGACTGCAGGGATTCATCTTCTTGGTTCTTTCGGTAAAGTCACGTAGAAGGGAAGTAATAAAATAATAAAAATAAAACATAATAAAACAATTCTCACGACGTTTCGGCCACAACGCAAGCAGCCGTCCTCAGGTGAAAACCAGGTCCGTCGAGGCGACAGAGTCTGAATGAAACAGCACACGAGCTTGGAGCATATATATAAGCTGGGCGCATTGACAAAGGAATTTGCATATCAAAAGGAATTTAGCATATTTATGGGAAATGCAGGAATGTGATTAGTACTGCATATGCATGTGCATTATGCAGGATTAACAGCATCAAAGGGAGCTGCAGTTACTGCTGCTGCTGCAGTTGCTGCTGCTGCAGTTTCTGCTGCTGCTGCAGTTGTTGCTGCTGCTGCTGCAGTTGCTGCTGCTGCTGTTACTGCTGCTGCTGCACTTGCTGCTGCTGCAGTTGCTGCCTTATCCATTTTAATATAACACTATGTATTATTCTACCCACCCTAATGTGTATCACACTGCTATATGTTTACTATACAATTACGACACCATACATTACTCTGCACACTGCACCATGCCAGTGAGTGGAACGCGGTCTGAAAGTCACCGTAAACGTGAACACAATCAGTTAAGATCCGAAATGGTTTATTACGTCCTTCCAATGATTGCTAAGCCAGAATCCATCTTCTCGGTTGAAATTGTCTCTGTGTTTGTATATGTGGATCGCCTCATGAACGAATCTCTCATGATAGCCAGATGGCTTGCAGAGAACCTCTGTCTTGGAGAAGTCAATATCATGTGAGCCCACTGAGTTGTAACAGTGATCTGCCACGGCTGAGGTGTTTGTCCTACCGTGTTTCAGGTCTGCCTTATGTTCACGGATGCGGTCCGAGACATGTCGTTTGGTTTCTCCAATGTAACTGCTACCACAGAGGCAACTTAGTTTGTAGACGCCAGGGTACTGTATGTCTGGAACCACATCTTTTACAGACGGGACCAGATCACGGATTTTATGTACTGTGTTGAATCGGACCTGGATCTTGTGTTTAATCAGGATTTTGGAGATCTTTTTTGTGACCCCAGCAATGTAGGGTAAGGTGATGGTCTTGAAAGGCTCCTCAACAGGATCCTTCTTGATGGTTGGAGTGATGGCTTTGCGGATTGTGTAGTCGGAGTAACCATTAGCCTTAAGAGCTTGGCGTACGTGTTTTGAGTTCACTGGAAATGTGTTCATGGTCGGAGATGCATTGGGCTCTATGATATAGAGTCTTGATGAGGGAATTCTTCTGGGATGGATGGTGGTGGGAATCCGGTTTTAGATAAGCATCCGTGTGGGTGGCTTTCCTGTAGACAGAGTGGCTCATTGAACCATCAGGTCTCCTTTTGATTAGGACATCCAAAAAGGGTAGCTTGCCATCATTTTCGACTTCCATGGTGAATCTGATGGCTGGGTGTATGGAATTGATGTGGTCGAGAAATTGGTCTAGAGCAGGCCGGCCATGTGGCCAGATGACAAAAGTGTCGTCTACGTACCTCTTCCATAAGGTCGGGCGTAGAGTGGCAGTCTGGATGGCGTCCGTCTCAAATTTCTCCATGAAGATGTTGGCTACAACCGGAGATAGGGGGGAGCCCATTGGGGTGCCCTCAATTTGCTTGTAGAAGGTTCCATTCCAGGTGAAGTATGTATTGGTTAAGCAGTGTCTCACCAGGGGGGGTACCCCAGCATTCAGTCCTTGATGAACCAAGTCTTCAATGATTGCGATGGTGTCAGGCACAGGCACCTTGGTGAACAAGGAAACCACATCAAAACTGACAAGCAGGTCGTCTGGGGACAGGGCAATCCCCTTGATTGTCGATACCAGGTCAGTAGAGTTTAGTACTGCAGAGGTGGTTTTTCCAGTGAAAGGCCGTAGGATTTCGGACAAAAAACGAGCCAGTTTGTAAGTGGGGGAGTTGATAGTAGAAACAATGGGACGAAGAGGTGTATCTTCTTTATGTATCTTTGGCAAGCCGTACAATCTTGGTGGTCTGGCTGCAGAAGGTTTCAACGAGAACTGTTTGGTCTGATCAATTAATGCGGTTGAAGCAGAAATGATGTTGTTGGTTTTGGAGACGAGGCTGTTGGTGGGGTCTCTTTTTATTTTTGTATAGCTGCCATCGTTGAGTAGTTCTTGAATTTTGTTGTTGTATTCTATTTTGTCCATGATGACAGTGGCATTGCCTTTGTCGGCTGAGAGGATGACAATGTCATCCCTCTTTTTTAATTGAGCTAATTCAAAACGCTCATCTTTGCTGATGTTGCTAGCTGGCATCTTAGCGTTTTTGAGGGTTACAGAGATTTCAGATCTTGCTACGTCTGCAGCGATGTGACTCAAGCCCTTGAGAGCTACATCTACTCGAGCAATTATATCATTAACTGGTATGTGTCTAGGTGTGACTGCAAAGTTTAGTCCTTTAGCTAAAACGGATTTCAAACCTTCAGAAATAGGACTGTTACTGCGGTTAATTACGACTTTGTTAACATCTGGCTATCATGAGAGATTCGTTCATGAGGCGATCCACATATACAAACACAGAGACAATTTCAACCGAGAAGATGGATTCTGGCTTAGCAATCATTGGAAGGACGTAATAAACCATTTCGGATCTTAACTGATTGTGTTCACGTTTACGGTGACTTTCAGACCGCGTTCCACTCACTGGCATGGTGCAGTGTGCAGAGTAATGTATGGTGTCGTAATTGTATAGTAAACATATAGCAGTGTGATACACATTAGGGTGGGTAGAATAATACATAGTGTTATATTAAAATGGATAAGGCAGCAACTGCAGCAGCAGCAAGTGCAGCAGCAGCAGTAACAGCAGCAGCAGCAACTGCAGCAGCAGCAGCAACAACTGCAGCAGCAGCAGAAACTGCAGCAGCAGCAACTGCAGCAGCAGCAGTAACTGCAGCTCCCTTTGATGCTGTTAATCCTGCATAATGCACATGCATATGCAGTACTAATCACATTCCTGCATTTCCCATAAATATGCTAAATTCCTTTTGATATGCAAATTCCTTTGTCAATGCGCCCAGCTTATATATATGCTCCAAGCTCGTGTGCTGTTTCATTCAAACTCTGTCGCCTCGACGGACCTGGTTTTCACCTGAGGACGGCTGCTTGCGTTGTGGCCGAAACGTCGTGAGAATTGTTTTATTATGTTTTATTTTTATTATTTTATTACTTCCCTTCTACGTGACTTTACCGAAAGAACCAAGAAGATGAATCCCTGCAGTCACGAAAGCTTTAAATCGAAATTTTTATTTTATTATTTTTTACTTTTCGTAACAGCTATTTTCATTGGAGTATGACAGGTGAGGCTGTGCCTCCCCTGCCTCCCTTGGCCCGCACGTCCCTGGTCAAGACCTCACAGTGGAATATTCGTGGGTTTGCTGCACCGTACAGATGCGCAGAGATTCATCTCAGGTTGTGTCTACGAGCCTGCCCGAGATCCTGGAGCAAGCAGCTGCCATGACCACCATTTTCCACCGGGTTGATCAACTGGAGGTGAGCACGGGGACATGTCCCTCACGGGCGCAACTCTGGGTAACCACCGCACCCTACTGTGCAGTCCTCTCGCCGCCTAGCGTAACGGTCCACTGGTAACTTTCTAAACCTGGTTCGGACACCGCCATGCACTCAGAACATATTGAGTTTACTCTAAAAAAAAAGTGCTGTAAACTGTTGATTACAAAGCCATAAAAAACATTCACTTGCTTCCCATTGACCAAATAGTTGTGCCATTGGCAATAAAGGACTCTTTGACAACAGCCAGAATGCTGAAGTGGTGCTCAACAATCGGTGATTTTTTATCTTCCCAGGGAGTAGGTGGGGGGAGTGGCCCTGAAAATGTTAGGAATTTTAAACAGGGCCATACATTAATAAAAACAACATCCAATGTATTCTCCCTGTTAAATATAAAAAAAAAAATACCAAAACCCATCACATCCCCATTGCCCCCCCTTCCCCTGGATCTGTCCCTGGCTTGGATTTCGAGATTTTTGTAAGCAAAATGCAGCGAGAGGCAGAAGCAGAGCTGTGTTGGATCTGCTGCAGGCATTTGTGCGACTCGTGGGGAGGGACGTGCAGGCCATGGAGGACGCTGTCGTTGCGGCCGAGCGGGAGCAAGGCTCCCTCCCGCACTCCATGACCAAGTTCTTCCGCTCCATCAGCATGCCCTCCTTCCTCAGCGTGCGTCTCCTCGACGAACAGAATCAGAATCTCCCAGTGCCCAGCTCGCACCTTTCACACTCACGTACGGCCATAGAGGTGTAATTGACATTTCCCGTACTCGGGGAGGGACTGTCAAGTTCTTCCCACGCATCTCCATAATCCTAAGGTCCCTCTGCTGGTTACCTCATCCGTTCCTGAGTCAACTACAAGGTCCCTCTCACCATCCCGATGGTCCTTCATTGACTCTGCCCTGCCTAACTCTCCCCTCTCATCTCACTCCACTCCCCTCCATGGGCTCTCTTAACTTTTCCTTCTGCACCTCCGATTTGCACGGTTGGCTATGTACGGTGCAAAATAATTTCAACATGCATACATTCTAATCTCACTCTACTCTCCTCCACCCATTCTAACTCTCAACTCACTTCTCCCCTCCACGCACTCTCCTACCTCTCCCCTTTAATTTCACTCTTCCCCCTTCACATGCTGTATGCTCCAGAATCTATTAGCTTGCTCTTTCTCTGATTTATAATTTGTTGCTATTGCTCTGATTTCTATTTGCTTCGTTGTTATGCTTGTTTTTATATTGTTGCTTTTATCATTGTGGTGACCTAGAACACTTTTGCAAAGTTCTGGTTTCTTGAGTTTTCACCTGGTTAAACAAAATAACCTGAATCTTGAATGCAACTAACTGGAGGCCCTAATAGTAGTTGGAGAAACGTCCCAACTAACCATTTGTCTCTTTTGCAATATCTTGAGATACAGTCACATTGATATGCGAAATACAAATTCCGTTATATGCTTGGCTTTTTTGTGACAATTTATACGATCACACGTAGGTTTTCACGGGCAATATGATTTACTATTCTGACTGAATGGATGCATCCCTACGGTTGATTGGCTTAGTTTCAAATGAACGTCGTATGTAATGTCTACGTTTGGATGTGAGAATTGTTCAACTCACCGGTGAGATGAAACAGAAACTGATGCGTTGAAACCTTGTTCGCTACGCGACATTTTAATTCGTTGGCTGTGTCGGGTGGTGGAAGATCTTGCAACAAGTTTTTCCAGATCATCACGAGGCCTAATCCAAAAATCTATCAAATTCATGCCTTAATTTAGCAAGTGCAGCTGTCGGACATAGGTTTGTCTACGAAATGCATTGCGTTTTTCTATACCAGCAGAAATCGTCCGGTCCTGATGAGGCCTCAGCTCCAACTTCCTTGCCCAGCATCCCTGCTGTGTTCCACACAGAAGACTTCATCAAGTGCCAGGAGACTGCTTGTTGGCCAGAGGATCTGGGACTCAACGACATGCGGGATTCTAACTGAAATTTTAGAGAAATCAGTCAACCACTCTTCCGCATCTGCACATAAAAGTTTTTTTTTATCGACCTCTGGGGTTTTCAAACCAATATTTATCCAGCAGTATTTCTTTAAACAAGAAAACTCTAAACTGGCTTTAATTTTTTTGGATCTTGCCAGTGTGTGAGAAAAAATATATTGCTGGGTCACTATCGATTTTTGGCAAGAGCACTTTGACAAAGTAGAGGGGCAGTGACATGGCCAATGCAACGGCAGGTTCACCGTTTTTTCAGGGGTTCGTGGTTTTTATCCGGCAGGCTGCTCCGTGTATTAATAAAATAAGTGCCATCTGCTTCTATCACAGTGGGCGTGAAGAGATCCCGTGACATCATTCAAAACGAGTAGAAATTACCTGTAAATAACTCAATTGGCATTACACGCAGCAATCATCGGCCCCTAATGGCAGACTAAGTGCTGAGTCACCTTGTGATGCACAGGGACAGCTGTCACTGGGGGTGCCCTTTTAATGTTGAGATGAGACGTGGTGTAACGCACTGTGAGATAGAGGCATTTTCGTGCCATATACTGTACATGCAAATATTAGTAAAGCACGAGCCCCCAGCCAATGCAAATAGTAAAAAAATAACACATTGATGAGGGGTTATGGGGATTACTGTTGGGCTGACAGAAAACCCTGCTGCTGTTGCCTGGATGACGGCATGACCGGGAATAAACATTCAATGAATACAGAAACTTGTAACGCGCAGTTTTTGTTAGAATTCATAGGCGCAGGAAAAACACAAACCAATGCTAAAGTATCCAGAACCAGCACCAACAATTGCCCAAGGTCTATGACCCTATATTGAGACGTTTGGCAAACTCCTGCAATGTATACATGTGAGATTGACAATCCACGTAGTGTACTGCCATACCCTGTCAAGCCAGGGGATTGGCAAATTTGTTTAATCCACCACCCCTTGCCTCGGTCGTGCTGGACGCTAGGTGTGTACCACCAGTGTGTGGTTCACGAATTTTGAGGAATGTGCTGCCGATTGAGCACTTGCTAATTTGCTTACGGTGGTCACATCCTTATCACTATCAGTACGACCATGGTTACTGTTAACTTGACCCATTAATTCCTCCGTTTGATACGTAGGCTTTCGCGACCAATATCCATAATACAGGTTTTTTGGGTTAGATTGCGTAAATGTGTTGTTAAACCCGCCACCATCCGATAGCCAATTAGTAAGGTTTGTCACGTAAACAGAACATGCCAATTCGTTACGAGTACAGCACACCGGTGTTGGAGAGCAAATCCACAACATTTACAATCGGAGTACGACGTTTCACCAGTAATTGCAACTAGCTTCATCAGGTGAAGCCATATTTGTGGAGAAATCCTGTTTCCTTCCTTAAATAGAGGGGTAGATGTGATGACAACACTTGTGAGCTCTTCTTGCGCGAAGTGGGGGGGGGGGGGGGGATTAATGATTGCATATCAAGGACTGGGTATCCATTGCCGTTCGGGTTATTTATATGGTAATGAACGTACATTACCTTGATTTGAAGCTTTCGTAACTGCAGGAATCCATACTCTTTGGTTCTTTCGGTAAAGTCACGTAGATAGAAAATTAATAGATCACGACGTTTCGATCGTAGGGGAACTGCTGCTGTGTTTCTCTCACCTGATGACGGTTGCTCGTGTTGCGATCGAAATGTCGTGATCTATAAAGTTTCTATCTCCGTGACTTTACCGAAAGAACCAAAGAGTGCCGTACATTATGCATGTGCATTACGCAAGCCCATTGTTGTATTTTCCTGTCGATTGTGTGTACAGCAAAACCTTGGATTGCGAGTATAATTCGTTCCGGAAACGTGTTTGTAATCCAAAGCACTCGTATATCAAAGCACTCGTATATCAGTTGTGATCACGTGACGCTCGGCAGACAAAGCGTATACGTACTACTCGTATTGCAAGACCTCGCTCGTTTATCAAATTAATATTTATAAAAAAAATTGTACTCGTCTTGCAAAACACTCGCAGACCAAGTTACTCGCAATCCAAGGTTTTACTGTACTAAAATACCCATACCAATTGATTTTGATGTTGAAGTTGTGTGCAAAATTAGTTACTACTGGCCACAACTAATTAGAGAATATCGAAAATTAGAGAAATACAAATAATTAAAACCATTCGGATAGCTACAGACTTAGTGCTGCTTGGAAACTAATCATCAAATAACACATTGTTTAAATGCATGCCTATACAGGTTACGATACTTCAATAGGGATTACCATGAAAAACGGAAAGCTTCTGGGATAGAACTGAATGTCATCAAAGAAGCAGAACCATGATTACCTTTTATCATAAAAAAAATCCTGACAATGCGAAATTATTACCAAGTTCTAAATCAACAGCTATTGCTCATGAGTGCTGTGCAACATTTGTTTTTTGGAATAACTGACAGCATGACGATTCTCAACATGCTATGACGGCATGTGCGATGTAAATTCACAAAGATTGAAATACAGTACTCAAGGCTGACTTGAGTTAAGTGAACAGTTATAAAGTTACGGTAAACTGATAAGGTAATATATATCGTTACAAATGATTTGACAGCAAACCTTAGTAATCGTGGGCAACAGTGCATTGATGAACAAGGTACACACATCTGCTAAATATCAACTTTATTAAACATGTACATCCAAAATATTTATATTTCATACCTACATGCACGAGGCATATGGGATATAAACGAGAAAATGTTACGCAATAATGTTATTGTAATCTTCACGAGCCACATAGGTGACATACAGCTCTGAAATATAAATGCAACTCAAGATTGAACATTCACCATGGGGTCTGCGGACCGCACAATGCGAACCCACAGCACCCCACATCGCTCTGGAAAATATCTCCCGCTTCTGGTTTCAAGAATAAGCAGGCTAAATTGTACTGCGTGCAATGTTCTAAAAGTACAACCGCAGCTGCGCCGCGTTCTCTCTCCAGCTCCAGGGCTCTGTTGCACACTCCCAGCCCACTCATCCCCTTCCGACGTTCACTGAAGCGATGTCACGAAAATCTATCTGAACACGGGCATTGAAGGAAAGTCACCAATACCTGGACATGTCGCCTCTGGGCCAGCTTCCATACAGTCGTGCAAAGTAAATAATGAAAGATTAAATCGAAAGTTTTATTAAGATCATTTATGAATGCGCAACTCTTATAACCTAGGTTATACTGGTTGGAATCTCCTGGTTACACAAGCCCACAGGGGATTATTGTGTCCGTCCGTCCGTCGTGCAGGGAGGGGCTGGGTGGGGAGGGAAGGGAAGGGCTGGGTGGGGAGGGTGGGGAGGGGAGGGGTGGGGAGGGTGGGGCTGGGCTGGTCACCCTGTGGTGCCCTTATAAAACTCAACGTTTAACCTACTCACGCCGGCTTGTGCCCGCCCTCACAGTCGGCCATATTTGCGGAATACACCACGCCGCCGTTGACCCTGGCCATTGACCGAGCAACCCAATGTTCCTACCAGCTCCCTCCGCAGGAATGTGTTCATGAGTGTGCAGAAGCCTCTGCGATTCATGTTTGTTGCATCAACAGTGGAGGCGGTTTTGTCTCATCCCAGTGTTCACTCGCCACACTGCTTCTTCCCTCCCATCGTCTCTTCTCCAAATCTCTTAGATAATAGCCTTGCCTATTCATGAAACCCATCAATTCTTATCCGTTTCAACATTAATCGTGCTCCATTGGAACCTCATTTACCAGTAAAAAATATGATAATTGTTTTTTTACCCTTCTATTTGGCAACAAAACTGACACACAGTTTTGTTGCCAGATAGAAGGGTAAAAAAACAATTATCATTAATCGTGCTGTTTGTTGCAGGCCGCTTAGCGTTCTTTGCCTGTGCTCGGAAACTATATTAAACAAATCTGTATTTCAGGGAAGCAAACTTTTCACCGAAATTATCCGACATTTGTAAAATACATAAAGCTTCACATTAATACAAAGACAAAACATTATAAACACATTAACCGAACATCGCCAAGGTGACTTTGGTTCGGCACACACGACCAGGATCGCGTTTCAAATGGGGGTCGCATTCATACCCTCACAACCCATACAATTATTTAATCTATGTACAGTAGCAGTATATGTACAGTAGCAGATCCGTGGGTTATATTCATTGTATTATTTATTTACACCTCTTTTACCCAGAAATAATCTTATTTTAGGAGGGTCCTGCCAAGTTTTCACGATAGGGGGCGATGTTGGTGGGTGTGGAATCCCAAATGAGTAATTTGCAGGTATTTTTTCAGCATTGGGGTGGTTGTTTAATACCAGGTACACCGTGTGAGTTTATTAGCTGGAAAAAATTTTGAACTAAACATTAAACCTCCACGTGGTCCGCGTGCTGACTATGCCGCACGTGCTTTACGTGATCCGTGTCATTACTGTGCCCCGAGTGCTCTGCATCCCCCGTGTGCCCCGGGTGCTTCGCATGCTCTGTGTGGTTACTTTGCCTTGCGTGCTTATTTTGCCCCGTGTGCTCCAAGTGCTCCGTGTGCTCCGTGTGCTCTGTGTGGTTACTTTGCCTTGCGTGCTTACTTTGCCCCGTGTGCTCCAAGTGCTCCGTGTGCTCCATGTGCTCTGTGTGGTTACTTTGCCTTGCGTGCTCCAAGTGCTCCGTGTGCTCCGTGTGCTCCGTGTGCTCTGTGTGGTTACTTTGCCCTGGCGGCGCTGTTTTTTCCAGCGGCATGTCCCACGTGGTCGAGTCCAATGCAGGGAAGAAGAGGTCGTGGTTGAGGCCCTGCATCTCCAGCATGCTGAACCCTAGCAGCACGTGGGTCCGATGTGCCTCGATCGAACGTAGGCATTCCTCCTGCTTGCAGGCGAACAGAATGTCCGCGTCTCCATGGCACATCCACAGTTTCTCTGTGAGCAGGGCCACCTCTTTCTGGTTTGGGTATGGGCGCTCATTGAAATATTTCACGAGGAACTGCTTCCTTTCGTCGTAACTCTTGTCGACGTGGTCGGTCGGATCTAGAGCCAGCTGCATCGATCCGCTGCTCCTGTTATGATGCACTGCCTTTTTAAATTTACAACCCTTCTGAATGATCACAGATGTTGTGTTTTGTTGTAATTTTGCCTTAGTATCCCTGAAACTTGGATTGTGCACTGGTGTGTTTTTGACACAACGTACTGCGAACTCAACCCGTGGCGCCGCGTTGCCTCCATTGTGATCCACGACCTTCGGTTTGTACTGAGCGATCCTCACCTCCTGAGGAGAGTTCACCGTGCAGTCGTCCTTTGTAGCAGCCATTAGCCCAAGCACCTTACGTTCCATCACCTGCATCGGGCAGTGCTTCTTGTGAGCGTCCAGCGCGTTGACATACAGAGGGTAGTGATACTGTACTTTGCAGTGAAAGCAGTAATACTTCACCATGTTCTTTTTCCGATCAAAAGCCTGGCTGACACCATGCGTTGTATTGAGGTGATGCTCCACCATGACCGCGATCTCCTGCTGGGGTCCCCGTATGGTCGCCCCGCAGAACACGCAAAGTGCGTGCACCTGCCCCAGGAACCGCGAGCGCATTGCCGGAGGTCTCGGCTGCGGCATCCACGGCCCCGTTGGCTCCTGGAGACTCGTGGCGTTCACACCAGGGGGCAGTGGCGCCGGGCTTTTACCCAAATCGCCGGGTATAGGTACAGGAGGGACGGTGACCAAACAGCTGCTCGATGCACAGCAAAGAGCTGTGGGTGTTGGCATCGCGGCGGCGACGGCGGCATGCGCAGAGGGCGTAGAGGTCTGATTCACTGGCACCATGGTTATGGGGCCCGCGGAGCCATTGTTGACCGTCACAAAATACTGCTGCATCGGGGCGGCCGGCAGGGTCGCAGCAGCGGAGACACCGATCGCTGCGGAATTCACGCCGTCGCAATTTACGACCCCCTTCGTTGTCGTGCCCACGGGCATCTGGGCGGAGCTGGAATGAGCAAGAGCAGGAGCTGGCTGCAACAACAGCTGCAGGGGCTGCCCAGTCCCGCGGTTGCAGATGGTGACGGTCTGCGGCATCATCCCTGCGGACATGTGAGGAACCGTCACAACGTGCGGCTGCTGGTGATGCGTCATCATTATCTGCATGGCGCCTGATGCCCACATGCCATTCTGTAGCTGATGCAATGCTGAGGCGGTGCCGGGGTTCACGGTGAATTGCGCCTGAGCTGCTTCCGAAACGTTCACCGCTGTAGGCGACGCCATCGCTAAGTGAAGCTGTGTGGCACTGTCCGTTTGCTGACGCAGCGGTTCCTGTCCGGGCATCACGTTATTCTCAATCGCTTTGCTTACTGTGGAAACTACGTTTTGTGCGCACGCGGTCGTCACTCGGGAAGAGACAACAGGGGGCTCCTGGTTGGACTGCATTGCTGGCATGGAGGGAGCTATAGACACAAAGCGGGGAACTCCGCCAGACTGCGGAGCCTGCGATAAGTTCAGTGTGAGCAACGCTGGCATATTGCCAAGCTGCTGTGATTGTGACGCAACAACAGATTGTTGAGGGACCAACTTAAGAATCAACGACTGTTGATCTTGGGCAGACACTGGGACCGGCGGGAGGGTGAAAGTGAAGATTGGGAGAGACGCATTCGAAGGTTGACTCTGCACGGTCGCACCACTGCATGGCTGCCTTATGTTTGACACGGTGCACTGAGGTTGCAAAAACTTGTGTGGCATAATGTTTTCTGGTGCCTGGAAATCGTTCGTAAACGTTTGCGAGTGCGCGGAAGATCTTGCAGAAATGACGGCTTGCGATTCAAGAACTGTAGAGCCACTCGTCCCATAGTACGGATGTTCTTTGGCCATGTGTTCCAGCATCTGCCGATGTTCCTTGAAGGCCAAGAGGCAGTACTGGCAGCGCAGGCTATGCTGCAGCATGTGCTCTCTCAGCATCGTGGGATGCATCTCTGCTTTGCACAAGGAGCACTCTGACATGCGTGGAGCGGAGAGGCCGTTCTCCTCTGCCAACATGGGGCCGTGACACGTGAGGGTATGCCCCAGAAATACCTCTGAGGTCACAAACTCCTTGCAGAACCGGCAGAACTGAAGTTTTTGTGCCGGTACTACTAATCGTGATCCGGTCTTGACCTGTAGTGATGAAACGGTCGAGCCCACTGTTCCGCCATTCTCCACAGGAACCATAGACGCTTGGCTCGGTTGAACGCTCAGAGCTGCATTCTGTGACGGCGGGGCAAGATAGTGGGGCGGCAGCGGCGGCAAGGATGATTGGAAGGCAAGCAGCTGTGTGGGACAGATGTACTGCTGCTGCCCGCTGCCGCCCGGCCACGACGGCGCAAAGCTGGTGTATCCGACGGGAGACCAGGGGTGCCTGGGGTCGTGCGAGGCCGCCGCGTGCCGCAGCATCGTCTCATAGTTGCTCTCCTGACGTCTTGGTTTTTTGGTCTTTACTGCCAAGGTGCCACTGGTCTGTTCCTGAGTAAACACACGGAGCAGAGTAAGCATAACAGCTATGAAAGCAGCACAATCTGCTTCAGTGGCAATCGCAATTCCTAAGGTAATGCAGGTTTAATTTTGCTGCTTTTGTTAAGAATATTACATTTTAAGATGTCCACATGTCTCTTAAATGAGTATTGAACATCCTGTATGTAATAATAATTAATTAAAAGTCCTATATACGGTCATCACTTAACACATGATTACACACCACGTTTTCGCTAAAATGCAGTTCTTCCATTAAGGAACACTTTTCGCACAATGCGGAACGCGCACCGTGATAATGCGGTTTCTGAGCGGTCGATTTTCTTGAGGTGCGCGGCCAAGTGGTGTGATACAGTACGCGGAATGATGCATCAACGCGGCGGCATACCCTCAATTATTTGTTCCGCCATCTTACTGTGTGTACGTACATCATATCTCGCCAAACTTCGTTAAATTATTTATTTAGAAATTGTTTTTGCTTCAACGCGTTTTTTGCTTAATGTGGCACTTTTCAGGAACGCATCCAATGCGTTAAACGAACCTTATGGTGGGACCCCGGGGTCCCATAAGCCCCCGGCTCTCGCATAAACATTATATTATAATGAAAAAAACTTTTCTATTTTTCACCAATGGGTTTGAAGGATGGTGGCAAGTGTTGTCTTGTTAAACGATGCCTATAAAACTGAAAAACTACTTACCTGCAGGGCCTCTATTTAAATACACTATAGAAAAAATAATTTACACCCCTCTGTCAATCATCGTGTTTCTCAGTGTGGATTTGTGAACACACTTTGTAAACAGTACATAAAAGAGTACGCGTTTTCAATGCGCTGTTCATATTGTAACAAGCGTTTATACCAATGTTACTCTACAGAGTAGTGGGTCGCCGCTCCTCTTATCCGCATTGATAAGAGCGGTATGTGGGGACTAAGTTTTTTTTTTGCGGTTAAGCCAATCTGCACAGATGCATACAGACAAGAAAGTATTATCAAACAGCAGGAATTAACGGTGCAACGCATCTCATCTGTTAAATATCTGCAGGTAATAGGATTGTCATCGATTGATCCCGGCTATAGACATTGGTTCGTTACAAATAATAATGAAGATAAGAGAGCAGTTTCACTGTATTATGCATATCGTTATGACAAATAAAGGCCTTAAGTCGTGTAGGCAGTTTGTGCAGCTTTGGATAAGACTAATGATCCTGCCCATACCCGAGCATGGAGTACATTCGCTTGTTCAGCTCTTCTGCGTATTCGTCCTCGCTGCGTTTGGACGACATGACAACAGAATGATTCGCGCCAGGTGGGTCACGGCGTTTATGTGCGCGGTGGGACAGAGTCGCCAAAAATAAATTAATTCAGATTTTGACTTCCGTTTATTCAGGACCCTGGGGTCCCGTCATAAGGTTAAAATGAGGATTTAGTGTGTGTTCCATTTCCAAGCGAGGCAAACAGAACTATATTTGAATGGTCATCCTCCTAGTTGGACGTCTATTCCCACAGTGGACAAACAGCAGAAGGGCCTCTCAGATACCAGTGATAGTTAGTAGACAGGTCAGCTCCACAGGGACACGCATGCAGAGATAAACAGTAAGAAACAGACACACACAGATGGACAAAGAAAGAACGCCAGGTACAAACAGAGAGAAGCACAGTCAGAGCCTGTAATACGTCCAACAGAAAGTAAAACAGTCCGCCTGCAAAGCGTTATAATGCAAGGCGTATGCATAATGGGGATATGCATTCATTTTGTACAACATCGTGAGCTTGTGTAGCATAAATATTTTTGACATGTGCTTGTGCATTTGAATAATTTAATAATGTGCACAATGTCATCGCAAACACGGCTATGATACTTTACGATGAGTCTCATTGGCCACTAATGGCAGACTAATGCCCACTTGCAAGCCAGGTGCTGAGTCCCCTTGTGCTGCCCAGGGACAGCTGCCCCTGCGGGTGCACTTTTAAGTGTTTGCGAAGAGATGCAAATCTTGCATTGCGTGTGAAGCGCTGCGAGACGCTGCAAGACGCTGCGGCGCACCGCAGGGCGGCTCCATCAAACACAGGTCTGTTAGTTTAACACGTATTACAGCTCTGGAAGTTTGTTTTGTTACCGTGGTGGCCGGCAAACTCGCCAGGGCTTTACGCTTGTGCTTTGCGGGAGGTTCGTGTTCAGTGAGCAGCTCCCAGTCTGTGCACTGATAGTTCCAAGTAACCAGCTCCTCGTCCTCCTGGTTCTAGCATGCACAAAGACAAATATCCCCCATATTGCCTTAAGAGACTGTCAGGGCCAGTGCAATAGCGAGCACACTATGAAGGCTGCCACAGCGCACGGAGGGGTGGGTGGCCAGCAGCCCACGCCAGGCCGCACGTGCTCAACATTGTACATGACAGATACATTCAAATGAGGAATGTTAAACAAAAACTGGTAAACCAGTAATCTATTTTCACAATCAAATACTAGTTCTGAAATGGAATACCTGTCAAAGGTAAAAAAAATACAGCACTGCCTTCATGTTTGTCTACTGGACATCTGTGAAACTACTGGGCATCTGTAAAAAAAGAGGTTGATAGCTCATCAGATTCCTCCAGGATGAATAAAGATTTTGATTCCGATTAGTTTTTTCAGAAACTCCCAACCTGCGGTATTAACCAGGGCGGCCTACCGGATTCAAACAGCAAACCTTTGCGACAAAGGTCAAACGCGCTACAGCAGGGCGGTGTCAACACCTAATGCGGGCACTGCACTCGCGTCAGACTTCACAGCTGCTGAGCCTCGCGGTGATCGAGCTGCTGCCACCTCCACACGCCAGAGGTCGCAATCGGGTACCCAATACCCGTATCCTACCCGATACCCGGCTACCCGTACCCGGCCGGGTACGGGTATTCGTTTGCGACCCTGGTGCGGCCGGGTACAGGTAGCCGCACGTGACTCACCCCAACCAATGAGTGAGAAGGCCGTGAGTCACTGGTGAGTAAACTTTTGTCACTCATTTCCCAACGTCTTGTCTCTTCTCACAATTCAAGTTTCTAGAATCAACCCACCCGCGCCTGCAACATGGCTTCATCCCAGAGGTCGCAATCGGGTACCCGATATCCGTACCCTACCCGATACCCGGCTACCCGGCCGGGTACGGGTACCCGTTTGCGACCCTGGTGCGGCCGGGTACGGGTAAGGAATCAAAACCCATTTGCGACCTCTGCCACAAGCGTTACCTCCACAAACGTCTGGCACCACTCCAGGCCAATGTCGCACAGGATTCTCTTGACGGTTTTACGGCTCTTGCGTAGACACTCCAGATTTGACACAGGCAGCTGCAGTGACGACCCAGCTGCTGCAAATACAGACACCACAACAACCCCTGGCTGTTACTCCTGGCGTGTTGCTGCTACGCTAATCACAGCGGTTAAAGCACCGGTTCTTGACACCGTGCCTCAGCAGTTACGTGAGCAGTTCATGAGTGGAGATTGGAGTTCAAATCCTGGTTGGGTTTTGACTTCAGCACATAATCCGTCACGGGTCATTCAAATGAGTACCACTTTGTGGGGAAGTCAACAGTGGTTGTCGTATGGATAGACTCGCCCTCACCATAATAACGCGGAATTTCTACCACTGGCTCAGGGTTGTAAACAGGAAATGAGCACTTGTGTTATGTTTTGACTTCCTGGGTCGAAAACAATTCCACCTAATATTTTAAGGGTCCACGTTACCAAATATTTCATTGACATTGTGTAATGTTTATTCTGTCCGTGGATATGCTTATATCTTGCAGTGAACGAGCAAATAGTGTGAACAGTCAGAATGATTTTGGTCACCTGGCTGTTGTTGGAAAAGGTCGGTCTTCATATCGGAAGTCATGGCATCCTGGGGAACAGAGAATAACATTTACTCTCCAGCTCAAAGGGTTTCATTTAATTTAAACTCACAGTTGCCAGGCACTGGCACAAAAGCCCAACATCTCAAGCGACCAGCAACAAACAGCACTTTTAAAGTTGTAATAGATTCCTCCACCCAAGTTGAGGACCAGGTCAACCATGCTATTTCACCTCATCCACATGGCATTAACCACCACTCTGCAGGTCACTACATTTCCCTTTCTGCTTCTTCCCTCGCCCTCCGCCTCCTTGGAATTCCCTCCCAATATCGTCATCTCTTTTCCAAGCTCTCATAAACAACAACCTTGCTCAATTCGAGAAACGTGTTACACCCTTGTCTACTACAGCTTTGACGGTGCTGTTTGCATTCTGGCCGCTTGATGTTTGGAGCATTTGGACCCATGCTCAGCAATTCTGTGTGTGCCCCCCTGGAGGTAACACTCACCTGGCTCGCCCGTGGAGAATGTGCGAGCTGCTGCCGCTGCTCCTTCTCCATGGGAAAACCTGTACAGAATGGAAAGGCAACATAAATATATATAGTGTATATAGTGTATACACCTGAAACCATGGAGAGGATAGAATGGCAGGAAGTTGTCTGGTAATGTCAGAGCCACGTGGCAGCCATGTGTCACAGCTGTAGCTGTTAAACTATACATGTTTTATTTGTGTATAGCAGTGTCATCCATTCAAGTCGCAGACCAAAACGCTGCAGGTTCCTCAAAGCGACGTAGGAACCCACAAATAAGTGCTTGGCAAGGCAGCCAAAAAAACGACACCGAAATGTGCCGAAGCTCTGTGATCCTATATTATGACGTGTGGCCAACTGCATTAACACAGTGCATTATTGTGTGCGATTCGCCATCACTGCCTCCACAGTTCTGTGTTACAAGTTTGAGCGGCAGAGCCACGGTGAATGTAGCGCATATGCAAAACTTTAATCTTTATGCAGCATACAAAAGGCTTAGGGAACAGTAGTGTTAAGCAATGTCTTGCATTTGGCCCTCATACAATACAGGATTATGCAGATTCTACGCAGTGGATTACGTGTAACTTCCTTAGTTGGACTTCAGAGACGGTGACACGGCCAATCGGTAGCGCATGCTGCAGAGGTTGACGGTTCGACACAAGTGGCCGCCCTAGTTATTACTGCGGCTGTCTTACGAGTAACTTTACATTCCGGAGACACTATACACGTTATTTCGGGGCCTCACTGTCCACCCCAGTTCAACACGTATTGGTAGGCTTTCGCGACCAATATTATCCGTAATAAAAGCTATTTTTGGGGTCCATTAATAATGTTTGTCACGTAAACAAAAGTTAGTTACTACTTAAGCACACCGGTGTTGGAGAGTAAACCCACAATATTTACAATCCGAGTTCGACGTTTCGTCAGCGATTACAACAACCACAACCAACTTTTGATTTAAAGCTTTCGTGACTGCAGGGATTCATCTTCTTGGTTCTTTCGGTAAAGTCACGTAGAAGGGAAGTAATAAAATAATAAAATAAAACATAATAATTATGTTTTATTTTTATTATTTTATTAGGGAAGTAATAAAAATAAAACATAATTATTATGTTTTATTTTATTATTTTATTATTACTTCCCTTCTACGTGACTTTACCGAAAGAACCAAGAAGACACAACCAACTTCATCAGGCGACAGCCAGTTGCTCCTCCCGCCGCCCCGCCCCCCGTAACGTCACGCTGGGCGCGTCCAAGCCACGAGAGAAGGAGGCGGAGGAGGGGGGTGTGGGAGGAGCACGGCGTGAGGGACGCGTCGATTCGTGCTCGCGGGGGTGAGGGAGGAGCGTGCGGCCCTGGGTCGTACCCCCGTCGCCCACCCACGTCGCCCACCACGGGGGCGCGGGAGGAGCGAGGGAGCGAAGGGGCAGGTAAGCACGTACCTCGGCCGGAATGTCACCGGCTCCAACAGAGCCGGCTACCGCCACCAGTACCGCACGGCGCAAGCAGAGGGAGCTGCAGCCCTGGCCGCGTCACGGCCCGCGGGAGAGAGGGAGGAGGAGGAGGAGAAGGCGTTGACGCCGCTCGCCGCGCGGAACACAAAGAGGGCTGCCCGTGCTTTCCGGAAGTTGCGTCATGCGATATATTCATGAGCAGCGCGCGGACGAGTCCATTTATATGGCAACACGGGGGGGGGGGTGGAGCCAGTCGCGAGCCCAGCGTGCACCGCGCGGCGCCAGAACGCGGCCGAGATTGGTGCGTTTTTAGGCGCCGCCCCTCGCGTGGACGAAGGGGCGGGGCTTACGGTGTTAGTAGGCGGGGCTTGTGTGCGGGGCTACGGGACGAGTGGGCGGGGCTACGGGGTGAGTGGGCGGGGCTTGTGTGCGGTATACGGGGCGAGTGGGCGGGGCTTGTGTGCGGTGGGCGGGGCTACGGGGTGAGTGGGCGGGGCTTGTATGCGGTAGGACGGGGCTACTGGGTGAGTGGGCGGGGCTTGTATGCGGTAGGCGGGGCTACTGGGTGGGGCTTGTACACGGTAGGCGGGGCCAGAGTCGGTGGAGGGCTCGCGCTGTGGGCGGGGCTAGTGGGTTCAAGTTCATGTATTAGGTGTAGCCCTGTGAGCCATTCGGCTCTTGAATCGGGTGCAACCGCAACAAAAAACTAAAATATGAACAAAAAACATCTTAAAGTGAATATGTGACTAAGTGCAAACAGAAAATCCAAGAAAAGACAGCAAAATATTGCAGAAAAAAAACACCGTACACCAACACTGTGTAGTGGACGGGAGGCAGGGGCCAGTGGGAGGGAGGGGCTGGTGGGAGGGCGGGGCTAGTAAGAGGGAGGGGCTAGTGGGAGGGAGGGGCTGGTGGGAGGGAGGGGCTGGTGGCAGGGAGGGGCTGGTGGGAGGGCGGGGCTAGTGGGAGGGAGGGGCTGGTGGGAGGGCGGGGTTAGTGGGAGGGAGGGGCTAGTGGGAGGGTGGGTCTGGTAGGAGGGAGGGGCTGGTAGGAGGGAGGGGCTAGAAGGGAGGGCGGGGCTAGTAGGAGGGAGGGGCTGGTGGGAGGGCGGGGCTGGTGGGAGAGAGGGGCTGGTGGGAGGGCGGGGCTCGAGGGGAGGGGAGGGGCTGGTGGGAGGGCGGGGCTGGTGGGAGGGCGGGGCTCGAGGGGAGGGGAGGGGCTGACAGTCCCCGCCCCCCGGCGCACGTGTCCTGGTTGAGCCTCCCAATGTGGCAGCTTTTTCGTTTTTTTCTGGCGCGAAATTTAACATCTTCACATTTGTGTCATCACTTCTTGATCACTCTCATCTGGGGGGTAAGCGTGAATAAATAATAGAAGTGATGTTTAAACCGTAGGGAAGTCTGTGGATCAATGCGGGGCCATGGATAAAGAGCTCGTGCTAATTGTATTTTAAATGCAGTAATATCCCTTTTACGTCCTTTCGCAAATACATCGGCACTTCATTGATACCACTACCTGATTTGCCTCAACCCACACTAACGTCGCTGACGACATCCGTCCTTGTATCTGTCACCTCACAGCCTTCGCCTCCACCTACTCTGTCAATTGCTTTGATTTACGGCGTTTCGATATTCGCACCTTTCAGGAACGCATCCCCGATGTAAGCCGGGCTATTCCTGTACTTGCTATAATTGGAAGTCTGGAGACACGTGATTGACACGGTGCATTTCCTCTTCTGTGTAGAAACTCGTCGTGTACTTCAAAATGAGTTTTGGGTTGGGCCACAGTCATCTGGCCACATTGTTTGACATGAAACCCTCTGCCACCCGGCATAGCCAAACAAATGTAATTGTCACACGTACAACTCTTTAACGCGTGAATATTGTTTCAGCTAAGCGGTGGAATTGAGAACTCTCAAACATTTGTTTTGCAATTACAGTAGATCAAAGATTTTGCTTTAAACTGCACTGATCATCCTCAGGTCATCAAACCAGGGAGTGAATGTGCTGTTGTGGCATGTTCTTGATTATGACAAATTTGTGAATCTCTGATTTACTCCACACCAATGTTGCTCATCAGCATGCATGCGAAGTGGAAACAAGAAAACAGGGCCAGTTTTGACTTTTTGAGTCCCACCTCAAGTGATGGACGTGTCAATCGATCCTCTGGACAACCTTGCAAATATGATCCATCCCAAGGAATTTTTCCAGGTGAAATATTTCAATGGCTGGTAATGAGGCTCTCCATGTCAAAACTGGACAAGAGTTTCTATACTCAGTAAGCCACGCTGAGTCGAATGACTCTTTTACTAGCTCCTGCGTATTGTCTCTACCGTTCTCCTTATAAATCTCAACGTTCATCCTACAAAGTCCCAGCACAAGGGAAAAACACAAACAAATAGACATTTATTTTTTGTTGTTGCCCTGTGCGCCATATGGACCTGAAAACTCAATTTCCCTGTACAAGAAGAATACGGGGCTAAACCGTGTGGGTTGACAGCTATGCAAAGGGTCCAATTTTCACACGGACGTCGCACTGCGATTCTTAAATTGAAGGCACATGCGATATAAAACAAATAAAGTTGACGGTGATTATAATCTTGATTTGAAGTTTTCGTGACTGCAGGGATCGATACTCTTTGGTTCTTTCGGTAAAGTGACGTAGGTAGAACATAAATTAAATCACGACGTTTCGGGCGCAACACCAAGCGTGGTTGTCCCACCTGATGACGGACGCTTGTGTTGCGCCCGAAACGTGGTGATTGAATGTATTTTATACCTACGTGACTTTACTTAAAGAACCAAAGAGTTTGTGATTATAATGCTGCGGTGCGCTCACGGTTACAAGCCTCCGCGGTGGCCGCGGGGAGGGGGTCGCGGGGGGGGGTCACGCGGGGTGGGGGATCGCGGGGGGGGGTCGGGGGGGGGATCGCGGGGGGGGGTCGCGGGTGGAGGTCACGCGGGGTGGGGTCGCGGGGGGTGGGGGTCGCGGGGGGGGGTCGCGGGGGGGGCCGCGGGGAGGGGGTCGCGGGTGGGGGTCACGCGGGGTGGGGGGTCGCGGGCGGGGGGATCGCGGGGGGGGGTCGCGGGTGGGGGTCGCGGGGGGGGGTCGCGGGTGGGGGTCACGCGGGGTGTGGGGTGGCGGGGGGGGGGTCGCGTGGGTGGGAGTCACGCGGGGTGGGGGGTCGCGGGGGGGGGATCGCGGGTGGGGGTCACGCGGGGTGGGGTCGCGGGGTGGGGGTCGCGGGGTGGGAGTCACGCGGGGGGGGGGATCGCGGGGGGGGGGGGGTCACGTGGGTGGGTTGCGGTTCCGCGGCCGTTGGTGCGCGAGCCAATCTCGCGAGAGTTGTTGGGAGCGGCCAATAGGAACGGCGGTCGGGCAGAGCGCTGAGTTCTCGCGAGAGTTGATATGAAAAGGCAAGAAAACGCGGGAGACCGCTGCCGAGCGAAGTTGGTGCGCGAAAGGAATGAACAGCGCAATAACAAGAACACTATAACACAATAATTACAACACAACAAAAATAACACATTAACTACTACACCACACCACACCAACCACGACAACAGACACAGTTCGCCGCTCAGTTGGCGGGTTCACCACGGCGCTTGTTGGTGCCAGGCTAGGTGTACGTCGAGGCCGTTTGCGTGCGGGGAGCTGGCGTCAGATCTACGTGCGTCTGCCACAGGTAGCCGCCTCTCGTTACCTTTGCTGTGTTCTTGTTGGTGAGCGTCGCTCCTCCGCCCTGGTTCCACGAGCCAAGCAGCGATGATAACAGCTGTTGTTGTTGTTGCTGCTGTTGTTGTTGTTGTTGCCTTCGCAGGAGCAATGGCGCAGACTCCGGTGTCGTCTGCGATGCCGCTGCGGAGGCCGCTTGGTCTGAGCGCCTCCAAAGAGAAGTCTGCACGAATCCGCTTGCTTCAGCTGAACTTCATGAAGCGCCTCTCGGCACAAGCTGGCACGGTGAGATGCCCTCTCCTCCCTCCCCCCTTGCTCTGTCGGCCGAGAGAGAAATAAGTAGTGTTTTAAACAACACGCTTTTAAAAAACACGATTTTATGAAATGTAGTGGTAATGGCAGAACTCCAGGAAGTGGCCCCGAAGCTTGCCACAACGTTCAAGTTGAAGTCTTGATTTGAAGCTTTCGTGACTGCAAGGATTCAACAACAGACAGTGAGTTAAACAACAGACAGTGAGTTAAATGAAAGCGTGTAATAATAAGTAATATTTAAGATTTCTTTTTTTAAAAACACGCTTTAATGAAATGTACCGTACGAGTAATGGCAGAACTCCACGACTCCAGAAAGTGGCCCTGAAGCTTGCCATAACGTAAGGGACCGTGGACAATTACAGCCAACGTCAGTTGAGCATGAACAATTAGACCCAAGCCGAAACATAACATTTCAAAAGAATGTAAAATATATATTATGATAGAATATAGTATTGTCATCAGTATGACATACGCATACCAAGTTTGCAGTCGATACGACATTGGGAAGTGGGTTAAAATTGAGTTACAAGATTTGGGGATACGACAACAGACAGAGTTGAGGATACGACAACAGACTGAGATTATCAAAAGCGTGTAATAAAAATAATGTTTTAAAATATGTTATAGATTTTTAATGATAGAATATAGTCTTGTCATCAGTATGACATAAATATACCAAGTTTGCAGTCGATACCACATTGGGAAGTGGGTTAAAATTGAGTTACAAGATTTGAGGATACGACAACAACAGTGAGTTAATAAAAAGCGTGTAATAATAAAAACACCTCCACGTAGAACGCAAACTTGTATTGGCCTAACATCCCAAATTCTAAAAAAATACCTTAAAAATTACTCTATTGGGATTAGGCATCGCAAAAACATCGCTCCCCCATCGCTCCCACCTGCGACCTACTGCGAAAACTTGGCAGGAACCCTCTTTCAACTATTCTTTAGGCTCGGTGAGGCTTTCCTGTGCAAACAAGGGTTATTAATAATGGCCATGCTGATGTACGTAACGAATCGCGAGGGTAGTTATTGAGAATAAATGACCCAATACCCACCACCACGGCGCCTGTGCCAGGCCAGGTGCACTTTGAGGCTACCACGTGCACCGTCGAAGGCTCGCTGGCAGGAGGTCACGGGACAGACCCAGGTGGTGCCATGGGTTGGCCGACTGAGATGACTGGCAGATGCACCCCCTATACCCCCTACTGTGCCAACGTGCTGCATTAAAGCCTTGTTGTTGAATAAGTAACAATACATACAACACACCATTCCATATCCGTCCCTCCCAGTCACTGCCTTCTGGGAGTGCTATTTTTCAGGCAGCATTGGTTTCATACGGTACAAGCAAACTCCGGTTTAGATATTAGCGCTTTCTAAAGCAGTCGTATACGTAATAGGTCATTATAGCAGTGAACTGCAATAGGAATGCTGTACTTTAGCTTCATCCGCTATCGCTGGCCCACCACTCATGCGAGTGATTGCGAGTTGCCGAGTTCAGTGTGTAAGCTGCTATCTTTGATTGTATATTTGTTTACCATTATGAATTACTAAGTTCTTGTTTGTGCTGTATGCATGTTGAACTTCTTTCGCACCATACGTTGTTAACTGTGTTCATCGAAGGTGTGGGGGGAAGGACAACAAGACTAAACACGAAAAGCAGTTGTAAAGATGTCGTTGCTGGTCACTGTAGAAATCATTACTGCTGAAAATGATTCGAACTGATGCTGGCTTTTAGGCACTTGTTGTATCATTGCCAGTGGTGCCACGTGCAGTCAGTTCCCTGCGAGGCCTCGGTAGAACTCTGCCCTGCGGCAGGGAATGACCTCGCTGCTGCGCCAAATCCTGTGGACTCTGCACATCCCGCATGAGTTTCTGGGAATTGGAACAAACTTGAGAAGACCAATTGGCGAGTTGGATGGGAATGAGATTCCAAGTTGATTTAATTGGGTGTAAAAGATAGGTTTAGCCTTAGAGCAGATTTATAGTAGAGTTGTATTTTTTTACACCGTTGCTGAGCACAAGCCCAAAGGCCCAAAACGTGAAATGGCCAGTAACAAACAGCACTCTTGCTGTGTTAAAACCCTTGCACACGTAACAAGTTTATTTGCCCATGTCAGGTGGAGGACGGTTTATGACCTATTGGTCAGATCATTACCCGACTTGACCAATATATCCTGTTACGAATTAGAATTGTAACAGTTGTAATAGATAAACGGTAACACGTTTCTCGAATTGAGAAAAGTTATAAGCTTGGGAAAATAACGTGGAGCAGTGCAGGGGAAGACGCAGAAATAAGCATTGTGTCTTGCAGTGTAGTGGTTGAACACGGTGTGAATGAAACGAAACGGTCTGATAGAACGAGTCCTTAACATGGTTGGATGAATGGGAATGAAGTGAGAAAGTGACTGGAGTGAATTAGTGACTGCTGGATCATCAACCTGACGATATGATGTATATTATGTTATTGATTGACGGTGAGGGATATTTCTAGTTAGGGACGGCTGAAGCTGTTCATGCACAGTGTTCAACTGTAACATACTGTACCACAATGTTGCAGAGTGCATCGCCCACATTATCTACAAAGCTTCCGAAAAATGCAAGCACTCCAGACATGAGTCCTTACACCCTGTTGAAAAAGATCCACAACACAGGTAAGAAAACGGCCTGAGGCACCACCACAGTTGTTCAATAATAAAACCTAAATCTGATAATTGTTTTTTTACCCTTTTATCTGGCAACAAAACTGACACCTTTTTTTTACAATAAGTCATGTTTGCATAGACCACAATACCTGTAGTCGTAATGCAAACAAAAAACATAACTCTGATAATGTATGCACTGTCCTTGAAGTTGATTGGTCCATACCCGAGACAGCGTTCCTTAGAGCCTAGTCTCACTTGGTATTGGACCAGATGACGCCAAAAGGCGCACAACTCAAAGACAACGCCACCATCAGAGTATGAGAGCTCGGGGTAAGCATTTACACCATTGGAACCTCATTTGCCAGAAGAAAAAATATGATAATTAGTTTTATTTTACCCTTTTATCTGGCAACAAAACTGACACCTTTTTTACAAGGAGTCATGTTTGCATAGACCACAATACCTGTAGTCGTAATGCAAACAAAAAAACAACTAATAATGTATGCACTGTCCTTGAAGTTGATTGGTATCAGTTTTGTTGGCAGATAAAATGGTAAAAAAACTATTCTCATATTTTTTCTTCTGGAAAATGAGGTTCCAATGGTGTAAAACCTAAATCTATTAGAGCAAACCCCAACCTCTCGATCTCCCATTGTCCCATCAGCAGCTGAGCTATCCGTGCAAATTGTAGATATGAGCAGGCACAGTCTGAAATGAAATCAGACTGCATGTCACGCCTTACTCAAGCACACCTCTCAATGTATTACAGCAGTCCGTTGGGATCTCAATCAGATGTTTTAATCTGAGGCAAGGCCCCTGTATGGATGTAGTTTCCTTTAGGATTCTTGAGGTTCACTATTAACACCTGAGGCTCCGAGCCAGTCCAAGGAATCTGAGATGTTTGAAGAGTGGTGTGGCCACAGAGGACCACGTTGGAGAGATATGACACAAATTAGCAGTGACAATTAGCAGATCACGTGATGTGAGTTGCATGGCGAGTGCCCCACAGTCAATATTTATTATTAGTGAGTGGCAAACTGGGTTTTCTCAATCACAGGCTGAAACAAAATTCACCCCTTATTAATACTACTTTATAACTCAACACATCAAGTATTCTGAAGAAAGGACATTGCTGACGATGTCAGCTTGCTATATGTTTTTCTCCAATAAGGCAGTAAGTAGTAAGCATGACAATGGTGAAGTGTTTTGAACCACAGGCAATATGGTCCCTGGGTTTCTTTTCATGTTGCCCACAGCCACGGAGGTTAGCCCTGTGGAGGTGTTTAAGCCCATGCCTGAACATGTGAAGGATGACGCGGGGACTTACAGGACATCTGAAGCAAGCAGGTCAGTACATTAAATTTTATTTTAAATATGTCTGTCATTGCGTCTGGCGCAAATCAATTGGCACTAATGTCAACGCTGGATTTAAAAACACGTGATTTTATATCGAGTACTTATTGCTAAATTGAATCCATGGTTCACACTTAAATTTTGGGTTGAACACAATGATCTGACCAAACTTGTTGTAAGACCCTCCACTACCTGATATGGACAAACAAATGTAATTGTCATTGTACAAGCATTTAATGCACAAATTATTGTTTTAGCTCAATTTAATAATCTGCATTTGTACATATCACAATTTAATGCGTGTGGTTATGTTGGTTGGTAGAGGGTTATACAACAAAAGTTAATTATGAATCCTAATATTGACTGTGGCAATCTTATGTATTAGGTTAATCCAAAGTTGATTAACCTTGTTCTGATTAATGTAAATGGTACAGAGATGGTGTCCATAAATGTGAGAAATGTACCAACTTTTGAGTTGTAAATCTATCGTTGTTGTGGTGCTGTTGGGTGCAGTCTGTTCGAGTTGACCACACCGACGGACGAGAATGAGAGCGGGAGACTGAAGCAGCGGCACCATCGCTCCATGAAGACGCCGGTCGACATGCAGACATTCACCCAGAAAGTCCAGCAAGCCATGGATGGCAGAGGCAGGTTCCCACTTTAGTGCTTCCCTGCAGGCAGCAATCACACGAGCACGTTTGGGCAATGCAGGGAACTGCACATCTTCAGTACTTTTTGAAATCACCATTGCTGCTCATCTAATGTTACAGCTCTCAGCCAGTGGTGGAAATTCCTCATGCCTATTGCAGGGGAAAATATTTCCTAAGGCTTCTGCACATATTCGGCACTAAATTTATCGACCCTGGAAGGATGATAGGCTGAATCAACCCCCGACCAGGATTTAGCTGGATATGACAATGCTGTGGCTATATATAACACGGTTGCATGGGTTTATGCACATGGCCACGAGGATGTGATATGCACACACTCGCCTTAATGTGTAAATAACAATTTGATGTTCGATATTTCCCTCATATTTTCTTACGAGCCCTTAATTCTTGAAAATGCCTTGATATGTTTTTATTCCAAGTATCATTATTCAAGAGTGAAGGCCAGGGCACTGGGCCTCAAGTCTTAGGCTATATTATACATGGACTCGGGGTGCACTTGGGTTTAGTGCAGTAATGTGTAACTGCTTTAAAACAGAAATTAGTAAGTTGTATTGTAAACCTGAGATGTGCAGCATTTTAATAATGATGAAGAGTTATGTGCAGGAAAGGTGCACCACTTAGTGTCTGCTTAATTAATTAAAAGTATATAATGGGTAGCACACTGGACTTGCAATCCAGAAGTCGCCAGTTGACACGTGATGCAAGTGTTTTTTAACTCTCCCTACTACTATGAACCAGGATAAATGGGCACGCCACATTTTGTCAAACAGCGGGGCGTGTCTGGTGGGGTAAAGTGTGGGTACGCCCACCTCTTCCAGCACGGTTTGTCAACATGGAAGAGTAGACCAAAATACCCTCTAGAGCTCCCTTTACCAGAAGCCCTACTGCCAACAGTGGCTTGAGCAAGCAATTGCAGGGTTGCTCCTGTACCCCATTGAGGCATTAATTAGGTAACGGTACAATATCCGTCATTAAATATTGTAATGTGAAATGTTTTTACAGACCTACCTGCATTGGAACGATCTGCCATGAACAGGTAATGTAATCTGTATGCAGTGCATTTCATTCATATGTTTCCATCTTCAGGTGTGTATCCTCTAGATCCTACCCGAATGATTGTAACAGGTCTAACTAAGATCTTTATTTACCGAATCATTGTGTCAGAAGCCCCTATACAGGTTATACGCTTAATTGCCCTTTACTCATGGAATAAAACAAAATGTAACATTATCTGCATCCCCTTACATTTTAGGCATATTTGGAATTAGGCTTTTCAACTATTTCAACGCTGCTCTCTGGCCTCTCCAAATCCCTCATCTCCAAATCCCAATGATCCAAAATGCAGCTGCAAGATTTCTCACCAGTATCCACAAACTAGACCATGTCACCCGAGTACAGTACTGCACCTGCCCCCGATAACGGAACGTACAGTGGCAGCAACCAACCACACGAGCAAGCCGGATTAGGAAAGGTTTCTCTACCACAGACCAAAAACATAGTAATAGGCTAACACAGACGGTGCGAATACTTTACATCAAGCAACTGCTGTAAAAAATAATAAGGTACTTGGAATTTAATTTTATTTCATTGTTATTCTTGATTACCCAGGAGAGCCTCGCTGAATTTCAAGACTTTTTCAGTAGATGGCAATGTTACTGTGCGCAGTCTGAATTGAGTAATAAGCTGATAATTATTCAACATTGGGATGCTTGGCCAATACCAGTCGCATTGTTTTTTACTTAAGGGAGGTAAATTGAATCCATGGTTCACACTTACATTTTGGGTTGAACACAATGATCTGACCAAACTTGTTGTAAGACCCTCCACTACCTGATATGGACAAACAAATGTAATTGTCATTGTACAAGCATTTAATGCACAAATTATTTTTTTAGCTCAATTTAATAATCTGCATTTGTACATATCACAATTTGATGTGTGTGGTTATGTTGGTTGGTAGAGGGTTATACAACAAAAGTTAATTATGAATCCTAATATTGACTGTGGCAATCTTATGTATTAGGTTAATCCAAAGTTGATTAACCTTGTTCTGATTAATGTAAATGGTACAGAGATGGTGTCCATAAATGTGAGAAATGTACCAACTTTTGAGTTGTAAATCTATCGTTGTTGTGGTGCTGTTGGGTGCAGTCTGTTCGAGTTGACCACACCGACGGACGAGAATGAGAGCGGGAGACTGAAGCAGCGGCACCATCGCTCCATGAAGACGCCGGTCGACATGCAGACATTCACCCAGAAAGTCCAGCAAGCCATGGATGGCAGAGGCAGGTTCCCACTTTAGTGCTTCTCTGCAGGCAGCAATCACACGAGCACGTTTGGGCAATGCAGGGAACTGCACATCTTCAGTACTTTTTGAAATCACCATTGCTGCTCATCTAATGTTACAGCTCTCAGCCAGTGGTGGAAATTCTTCATGCCTATTGCAGGGGAACATATTTCCTAAGGCTTCTGCACATATTCGGCACTAAATTTATCGACCCTGGAAGGATGATGGACTGAGTCAACCCCCGACCAGGATTTAGCTGGATATGACAATGCTATGGCTATATATAACACGGTTGCATGGGTTTATGCACATGGCCACGAGGATGTGATATGCACACACTCGCCTTAATGTGTAAATAACAATTTGATGTTCGATATTTCCCTCATATTTTCTTACGAGCCCTTAATTCTTGAAAATGCCTTGATATGTTTTTATTCCAAGTATCATTATTCAAGAGTGAAGGCCAGGGCACTGGGCCTCAAGTCTTAGGCTATATTATACATGGACTCGGGGTGCGCTTGGGTTTAGTGCAGTAATGTGTAACTGCTTTAAAACAGAAATTAGTAAGGTGTATTGTAAACCTGAGATGTGCAGCATTTTAATAATGATGAAGAGTTATGTGCAGGAAAGGTGCACCACTTAGTGTCTGCTTAATTAATTAAAAGTATATAATGGGTAGCACACTGGACTTGCAATCCAGAAGTCGCCAGTTGACACGTGATGCAAGTGTTTTTTAACTCTCCCTACTACTATGAACCAGGATAAATGGGCACGCCACATTTTGTCAAATAGCGGGGCGTGTCTGGTGGGGTAAAGTGTGGGTACGCCCACCTCTTCCAGCACGGTTTGTCAACATGGAAGAGTAGACCAAAATACCCTCTAGAGCTCCCTTTACCAGAAGCCCTACTGCCAACAGTGGCTTGAGCAAGCAATTGCAGGGTTGCTCCTGTACCCCATTGAGGCATTAATTAGGTAACGGTACAATATCCGTCATTAAATATTGTAATGTGAAATGTTTTTGCAGACCTACCTGCATTGGAACGATCTGCCATGAACAGGTAATGTAATCTGTACGCAGTGCATTTCATTCATATGTTTCCATCTTCAGGTGTGTATCCTCTAGATCCTACCCGAATGATTGTAACAGGTCTAACTAAGTCAGATCTTTATTTACCGAATCATTGTGTCAGAAGTCCCTATACAGGTTATACGCTTAATTGCCCTTTACTCATGGAATGAAACAAAATGTAACATTATCTGCATCTCCTTACATTTTAAGCATATTTGGAATTAGGCTTTTCAACTATTTCAACGCTGCTCTCTGGCCTCTCCAAATCCCTCATCTCCAAATCCCAATGATCCAAAATGCAGCTACAAGATTTCTCACCAGTATCCACAAACTAGACCATGTCACCCGAGTACAGTACTGCACCCGCTCCCGATAACGGAACGTATAGTGGCAGCAACCAACCACACGAGCAAGCCGGATTAGGAAAGGTTTCTCTATCACAGACCAAAAACATAGTAATAGGCTAACACAGACGGTGCGAATACTTTACATCAAGCAACTGCTGTAAAAAATAATAAGGTACTTGGAATTTTATTTTATTTCGTTGTTATTCTTGGTTACCCAGGAGAGCTTCGCTGAGTTTCAAGACTTTCAGTAGATGGCAATGTTACTGTGCGCAGTCTGAATTGAGTAATGAGCTGGTAATTATTCAACATTGGGATGCTTGGCCAATACCAGCTGCATTGTTTTTTATTTAAGGGAGGTAACAAGTGAACCCAGAGGAAACCCATGCGGAACAGGGGGAGAACATACAAACGCCACACAGAAAGCCACCTGAGTCGGGAATCGAATCCAGGGCCTTGTTGCTGTTACGCACAACTGTTACCACTGCGCCACATTGCTACATAACTATTGAATTGCGTGTAACTTGCACAGTTTGTTTTGACCGATGGCAGCTTAAACCTGAACACTCCACTCGACTCCGAGGAGGAGGGTGACGATGCGACGGGGGTGAGGATACGACGCAGCCACACGAGGGCACCAACGCAAAGGGTCAACAAGGAGGCTTTTTCGCAGCATCTCCGACAACACTTGAGAGAGGAGGCTGAGGAGCCCCGACCTGCGCACACCACAGGTCAGAAGAAGCCGCTTTCTCCATGCTAACAAGGACAATGTGATTTCCTGCTCAAGTGGGCATTGAGGCGGTGCTTGTCTCCTGTGTACAGCCCAGAGCCTGTGGTTGGAGTTCGCACATACCCATGGCGGCAGCAAGTGTATCCACTGGGCGTTTAAGCCCCATTGCACATTACCGGCCAAATGGCACGGCCGTAGAGCGTGCGGCTCACAATATGAAGGTTGCAAGTTCAAATTTGGTTCTTTTGAAAGACCCGCAACCACCATAGAAATGTGGAATTTTCACCAGCTGGCTCAGGGCTGTAAACACACTGAGCACCGCCTCAATGTGCATTGACTCTGACTTGACTGGTGTTGCCAAAATCAAGGATGGCTTTTGTGTGTTTCATATTGTCAATGTCCTGTTGTGTTTCTCCGTAGACTTGATGCCTGGAGGGGTTTCTGAACTGTCCATCGGGGAACACACCTCACATTTCTCAGAAAGGAGTAGTAGCAAGCGCAAACTGAGAGACCGATCCACGCCGGGAGTCGGGAAAATGGCGGCAAAGACACTAGATGGTCATATGGAAGTGTCGGGAAGGGCAGAAGACGAGCATAGTGACGATATGGAAGAAAACGGTGTTCCTGCAGAAGTGACTATGTCGGGTTACCTTAGTCCAGTTATTGACATTCACCCATCACCACACATTAGCACCCCAAAAGTATCTGCAATACAGAGTGGCCTGCAGGACAGCGATGGAGATGTCACAGGGGCAGAGGAACTGGAGATGATGAGTGAAAGAGACGAGATGTCTGAAGAAATATCTGGATTGAACCCCATGGAGGAAGCAGAAATGCTATCTGCCGAGTTAGTAGATCCCATGTCTATTCCACACCTCAGCCACACATCTCCAGTTGGTGAAGACTTGATGGATGACGAGGAGGAGGGGGAGTCAAAACCTGAGTCAGACGGTGACCAAGCTGGCCCTGTTGGAGATGCCTTGGATCGTGGACTTAGCCACAATTTGGCAACGTCACCTTATGAAGAAGAAGAAGAGGAGGAAGATTACGGCAGTAGTAACGATGAGGAAGGTAATGCAAAGTTCATTTCATTTGCTACACAGATGAGCCCGTTTAGCCAGTTGCCCAGCTGTTTAACAAGGGATATTCGTGGTGCATGAGCACAGCAAATATAAAAACAAGTGCTCCGTATTGTGTAGGACTGGGATATGATATATTTTATATGTTAAAAATGTTAACTTGTACAGTAAAATCTCGGCTAGCCGGACTAATAATTTCAACTTTTAAAGATTACAGTATTCACTCACTCTCAAAGAGAGAGAGAACGACACAGAGGCACTAGGAGAAACCACAGACAAGCAGGAATGCAGCAGCAGCCACGCGGTGATGAGCCGGTGCTCCCAACAATAATCCAGCACAGAGCGATGATTGCTTTTGTGCAATCCAAATTGAGTAATGTTTGGATCTTGTTTTGAATTATGTCAGGGGATCTTTAACTTCCATTGTGAAGCAAATGGTGCTTGTTTATTGATGAGTTTAAGGCTCTTATTATTTGGGAAATAGTTTTAATCTTGGAAATGTCAAATGTTGACTTTGTTACATTGAAGCATTAATAGTAAGAACTGAAGTATATCTCACGAAAATTTACAAAGGAGTTTGTTGCTGCATGTCCTTGAACAGGAGAGTTAAAATTGCATGAACTGAAGGCGAGCAGCAAGCCCTCGCCAACTCTGAACACTCCTGCTTTCTTCGCGAAAGACAAACTTTCGTAAGTAAAGTATGTCCTTATTTTAAAGCTTAACAAATATTGGTGTGTTTTGAATGTTTACCAATGTTGCACAGTGAGTTGGGCATTCCTCAGGTTATGTTAACCAATCCAGATAGTATTTGTCCAGATCATCACGTGGTCAAAACAAATCATTAATCTGAATCCAATGTTACACTGATAATTTCACCTATTGCGGATTAGCAGTCCGGAGTAGTTTGGGCTGATGTTGGTACAGATTCATAATCTTCCACATAATAGCCATATACTACTACATAGTTCATCTTGATGTTATGTGTAGCCATATGCTTGTTTTATCTCTTGCAGTAAAGGCAAGCAGAAGGCCGCGCTGAAGATAAACAAAGCTACTTCAAAAAGAGGCAAGACAGAGAAAGTGTTGAAGATACCGATGAAGGAGATCAAGAATATCTGCCAGAGATTTGTGCCCTGCCGGCTGAACAGAGATGCCCTTTTGGCCATTGAAAATAGGTATGCTGTGTCGTTAATGTGAACTGAAAAAATGTGTTTGATATTTTGCCCAACTCCAATAAATACGTTTATTTACAGTTTTAAACACAGTTGTAGAGCATAGCCCAAAGGTCCAGAATGTCAAGTGGTTCGTAACAAACAGCACTATCATAGCTGTAATAGATGAGTGTTAATGTTTCTTTAATTGATTAATGGTCTTATAAAAGCCTGGTAAAAGAGACATTGGGAGGGAATTCAAAAGTGGAGCACTGCAAAATAAGAATCAGAAAGAGAAGTGTTGTAACCTGCAGTGTGGCAGTTGAACACCATCTGTAAAGGGAGGACGGTGTCTGACCATAGAGATCACAGTGAAGAGATCAGGGATAAAGCACTGGGACACGTGTATTGGTGCCGACATGTACATCACCATAAAAGTTGGGTGACACGAAGAAGACCGTCCTAGCTGAGCAGTGTTTCTCTGTGCCCGCAGCTGTTTTGTAGAGCTCTACCCCGCGGCTGTCTCTGAATGTGTCCTCCAATGCCTAGCCACCAGTTAATTCCATACCTGTCAACCCATACGGTTTACCCGTATTCTTGTACAGGGAAATTTAGTTTTCAGGTTCATATGGCATACAGCCGTTTCAATACGGATCAAAACAAATGTCCTTTTGTTTGTGTTTTTCCCTTATGATGGGACTTTGTAGGATGAACGTTGATATTTATAAAGGCACGGGGTGACCAATAAGGTCTGAATTGGTCTGTAATAAGGTAGGCACTGATAAGGGGTTGTACCTCATCTGCTTAGACCATGGGCCAAAAACGCCGACAACTCGGATGTGCGTCAGTGTTTATGCCATAAGAAATATCAATGTTGGTACATCCATTTGGCACCTCGTAATGTACAATATCGTGTCTTACGTTTAGAAACTATGCTGCCTCAGTCTTCAGTAAGCCTTTAAAATGTTTCTTTTAACAGTATGAATGTACATTGTTTTATGTTTTGAATGCCGATACATTTTTGGGTTTTGTATTAAGGCCTCGACACAGAGGCATTGGGTCTTTATGTGTCTATGTTGTGTCTCTCTCTGTGTCTCTGTGTTGCCTCAATCTGCTTGTGTGTGTCTGTGTTTTGTCTCTCTCAAATTTAGTTCTACCTGATGACGATTGCTTGTGTTGCAATCGAAACGTTGTATTCTATTATTTAATTTATTTTCTTTCTCCGTGACTTTACCGAAAGAACCAAAGAGTAGAGCCAGAATCTTCTGTGAAGACATGAAAAATAATGCTTCATGATTTTTCATGTCCTGTTTTGTCCTTATTCTGGTGTAATGCTGTTCGGGGGTGCCACGGTGGTGGGATGTTAACTACCTTGCCTGGTATACAGGAGGTCGTGGGTTCAATCCCGACCCTGACACCTGTATATTTGGAGTTTGCATATTCTCCCTGTGGTTGCGTGGATTTTTCTCCAGATCTCTTCCGGTTTTCCCCTCCATTTAGAGACACGTATTAAGAGTATTTGGCTGCTATACATTTCCACAAAAGCTATTTCAATGAGCTATCATTTGTGGCCAGGTTGTGTTGATGAAAAAGAAATAGCTATGGAGCTCAGTCGGCCTTACCTAGTAAAATAAAAAATAGTTTTGGATGTCTTTCACTTTTATACTATTTTGATGTAGGTTTTATTTTAACTTTTGTCTCCGTTGACTTTCATTTTCCTTTAATGGGCCCTGGCCTGGTAATAATGGGACAATTATGCCTCCTTTGCATTTCTGTTCTTCCACAGAAAAAAATCTAATATTTGTTACACATCCCATTATCCACAAATTCTTCTGGGAAGTTCATAATTTCAGCAGCATTCAACACAATTATTCTCTGGACCAGTTTCAACATTCATTGTTTCATCGACAGGCAGGTCGGCATGAACATTCAATGCTGGTGAATTGCCAGATTGTTTTCGCCAAGCACCCTTTGATATATGGATCCTAGTTCAACAGAAAACTATGTAATAATATATGATCGTGTTATGGTTATAAAGGTCTTGATTGAAAATCTATTCATTTATTTGCAATCCTTTTTCTAGCTTGCCAAGATCTTGACATGCGTGTGTTTGTACGGCAGACTGCCACTGTTATTTGAACAGATGTTGGATGACCTGGATGCATTTGCATCCCATGCTGGGAGGAAAACGATTACAATCGCAGATGTGGAGCTGCTGATGAAGAGGTGAGGGCAGGGATGCCACCAAATGGGCTGTTAAAGTTTACAACTATGTTAAATGAATGTTTATTTTTTTTATTTGATTTCAAGAATTAACCCAGTAAAAGCCAGTGTAATATTGAAGTATGTTTTTTTCGATTGTTAAATGTTACAAAATGAGCCATGACAGTGAACTCTCAAGCGTAGAGACTTAAAAACCAAATTGTCAAAGCTGTTTTGCAACTTTATCAGAGGCGATACTATTTTTAAAAACGTGTGCTGAGCGCAGACCCAAAGACCCAACATGTTAAATGGCTGGTAACAAATACCACTGTCAAAAATAGATAAGAGTCAGTTGTAGTAGATGAGAGAAAACATTTGTTTAATTAAGTATGATTATAAGGGCTTGGGAAAGAGAATAGAGCGGAATTTAAAAGTGGAGCAGTGCTAGGGAAGAAGCAGAGGAGAAGTGTTTTGACCTTCTGTGTGATGTGTGGATGAGATGAAACGATCATTCTGGTAGGCCGAGTCTTGAATTAAATCCAGACCTCAGCTGAGTAAATCCAAACTTGAATCGTAATCAATCAAAATCTCCCACAGTGTTCAACTATATAGGATTCACAATCGATAATGTAAAGACATTCTCTGATACCAGGTCTGTATTTGGATTCCTTTTGGGAAAGAGTGGTGGTGCAGAGGTTAGCGTGGTAAAGTATGGTCAATACCCATGATATGGCGAGAGGAGGCCTTCATCCAACAGTACATTGACAAAACACGAAGTGGTTTTAGTCTCAGTGAATTCCTGCTGAGATGTGCATTGAGGTGGTGCTTATCTCCTGTTTACAGCTCTAGTGGTAGAAATTCCACATTACTATGGCAGGGGCAAGTCTTATCGCTGTTGACTTCCCAATCGAGAGGGGCGATGGACTGCATCAACCCCCAACCAGGATTTGAACTCGTAGCCTTCCGATTAAGAGTCGCTTGCTCAACCCCTAATGAACTGCCTGGTCAGATAATTATAACTTGGATGAAAAATGCTGCTGTTATTGTGGAACCCTTGGGGTGCCCTTTCCTCATGTTGTGTCTGTGTGCGCGTCTGTGCAGGCAGCGTTATGTGACGGACACGATGCCTCTCGTAGCCCTGGTTCGCGAGTATCTCCCCATGGAGAAGCGTGTGGAGTTGCTGGACATTGTCCTGGGCAAGGTCCTGCCACCGCTGCCCATGACAGACAAATAGAACATCGAGAACGCTGCATGTGCGGGAAACACTACCCAATGCTAGCACAACACACACTCACGCATTGTCTTAACCAGCCTCATTTTGGTTTGCGAGAGGAAGTTTCAGCTGTAACCCGGCAATTTTTGGGCCTCCACGAAAGCGAATTCTAGAGGGTATTTGGCCTACTCTTCCACACAGACCAAACGTGTCGGACAAGGTAGGAGAGTCCCACGCTATATTCCTTTGCACACGATCTGCTGATCGGCTAGCTTGTGAACGCATTCTGCTAGGTGGACAGGCGGGCGGGATTTGGTAAATGCACTCATTGTTTCAACTGCCGTGGCGGGATATGACATTGAGTTGGCGACCCTGCATTGCAAGTCCAGCGTACTAGCCATTACACCATTCAGTGCTGTTCTTTAAATATGCTTTACAATTACTCATACTGAGCACAGTTTATTATAGTATTATATATAAGCGTTATTTTGGCTGTTTTTCATTGCAATAGCAGTAAATATGATTCGAAAATACTTGTCAGCTTTCAAAATATTTTGTGCACTATCTCAAGTGTATGTATACCCCTTAACTACTGTTAACTCGCCACCTATCACAGGAATATTCCCTTGCCGTGTCATTGTCGTGCGATTGTGTTTGGGAGAGAAGACGGAACATGGGCAAGCTGAGGATATTTGTCGGTTTATGGATATATGATGCACTTTTTTCGGACCGTCCATAGTCAACCGTGCTAATCAGAGGTGCAATGTTGTTCACAACTAAAATAGGTTTCTACACATTTTAATATTTCTGGTGGATGGGGACAGGGAGCATAAATTCTGTGAGTTGTAAAATAGTGGCATGGTGTACGTTGTCTGTTGGTGACTTCCTGCTCAAATGAGCATGGAGGTGTCGTGCTCATCTCCCATTTACAGCCCTGAGCGAGTGGTGGAATGTCCACGTTCCTATAGCAGGAGCGACCACAATTGCATTCCCCACACTGGTACTAATTTTATCGACCTTGGAGCCAGGATATGTTTTCCTGCTACTCGCTTTATTCCACTGAGCGAACTGGCCAAGTTTTAATGTAAACATTTCTCAAAATTCATTTATATTTTATCAAAGGCCAAGCAGATTCAATTCCTTAAGAGCTGTACACACAATCAGATCTTTAGGTTGGGCTGTCCAAGCAAGGGACAAGTCTGTCGGTTGGGTCTCAGGCTCGATAGCCAGTGTCGTGTCCACACTTTGGCCGTGGTTGATTGCAGTGGCTCAGCAATGTGTAACTGTTGAAGACGAGGAATAAAGTTGTCGCGTTTAATAAAAATCAACGAGACGTGGCCAAAGCCATTGATTGCGCCACGCCTCTCTACTCTCCGCCAGAACCCCGATTTTATTTTCAACAGTTACGCAGAACGAAGTGTTTAACACAAACCGTTATGTATTATCTAAATAATGCAACAATAATTGATATTTAAAAATACCGTTTAAAAAAACACTTTAATTAAATGTACCGTACGAGTAATGGCAGAACTCCACGACTCCAGGAGGTGGCCCCGAGGCTTGCCATAACGTAAGTGAGTGTGGTGATTTACAGCCAACGTCAGTTGAGCGTCGACAATTAGACCCAAGCCGAAACAACGTAATGTGAATTATAGAATTTAGTATTGTCACCAGTATGACGTAAGTATACCAAGTTTGCAGTCGATACGACATTGGGAAGTGGGTTAAAATTAAGTTACAAGAATACAACAGTGAGTTAAAGAAAAGCGTGTAATAAAAAAAGTGTCACTCTTCAGTGTAATAAAAGGTGTATATAATATACCAATTTAATGTCATTACAGACCACATTGTTTGAATTGTGTTATCATTTAACAGTTGTGTAGAAGTTTATTCTTTGGAATGTTAAGACAATGTAAAAAAGTACATTTAAAATTCTATTTCGTTTTTACATGTATTTTTGGCTGAATTTAATGTACAAAAAGTACATTTTGAAATATATTTCTGGCTTAATTTAATGTTTTAAAAAGTACATTTTGTCTGAATTTAATGTAGATGTGGTTGGTGGTATTGAGGCGAAACGATTCTTGCATTCCCCCCGCATCGAGTGCTATTGATTTGGCCCTAATCGCTCCCATTGATAGTTTTCCCTCTCCTGCTGTATGCGCAATTGGTGACTGGCCACAATCAACTTCATCTTGATCTTAAACCCAACAGAATTCGTTGCACAATGCTGTTGATGAGACACCGAATCCACTTTACTGGTTTTTAATCAAATCTGCTGGAGAGAAAAAACGTGGAAGGCCGTGTGGGCCGTTGGAGCGCGTCCAACATTTTATTTTGCGGCAAGACATTGGAAAGGGCCGTAACAGCGTCAACTTATTTCCACGGGAAATCCAGATTATGGATCGCTTCCAATGTGTTAGGGAGATGATGTTGTGGCTATGCGCCCCAGCACCACCGTGGAGGCGAGGGGATCGATCACAAGACGTGTTTAGCTCTCCCAATCCGTGGTCGTCGAGGTCGCAACACCATGGCTTGCCAGGAGATGGCTGCACACCCCGGCGGACGCGTTGGTTTTCTCCGGGAACTCCGGTTTCGTGGTGTAGTGACGCCAACGCACGTTCTTCTTGCTTTATTAAGAGCCTTTATTCGGACACAACTATTTCAAGCCTCCTCTTGACTTCCCGACTCTCCGTTCACACGTCCTTGAAATGTGAGGCCGTAAGTGGTACGTTGCCTCGGTCGTTACAAAAGTCAAAACAAGCAGCCAATGCCGGTTCAACTACCACGTGCATCACCGGAGAGCGACGCGGTCCCTTGCTCGAGAGTGAACTGTCAATGTAAATCGTGAGAATTTCACTGCGGTCCCCGGGTGGTGGGGGTGAGGTTGGGGCGTGGGTAGGAGTCTTGGGAGGGGGTTTTGGGGGGTGGGTTGGGGGGTATTGGGGGAGGGTTGGGGGTGTTGAGGGGTTGACCGCAGGTATTGTGGTTAATGCAAACATGATTTCTTGAAAAAAGGTCAATTTTGTTGCCAGAAAAAAGGGTAAAAAAAACTTATATTTTGCTACTGGCAAAGGAGGCCTCATTATGTTAATGCTTACCCCGCGAGCCCTCATACTCTGATAGTGCATTGTCTTTGAGTTGTGCGCCTTTTGGCGTCATCTGCTCCAACACCATGTGAGACTGGGCTCTAAGAAAGCTGTCGCTGGTGTGGACCAATCAATTTCAAGGACAATGCATGCATTATCAGAGTTGTTTTTTGTTAGCATTCTGACCGCAGGTATTGTGGTTAATGCAAACATGATTCCTTGAAAAAAGGTGTCAGTTTTGTTGCCAGAAAAAAGGGTTTTAAAAAACCTATTATATTTTGCTTCTGGCAAAGGAGGCCTCATGATGGGTTGGGGGGTGTTGAGGGGGTGTGGGTTGGGGTGGGGTTGAGGGGGTGTGGGTTATCGGGGAGGGTGTGGGTGGGGTTATGGGTGGGGTTGAGGGGGAGGGGTGGGTGGGGTTGAGAGGGGTGGGTGGGGTTGAGGGGGAGGGTGTGGGTGGGGTTGAGGGGGAGGGGGTGGGTGGGGGTTATGGGGGAGGGTGGGGGTGGGGTTGAGGGGGGTGGTGGGGGTTGAGGGGGAGGGTGTGGGTGGGGTTGAGGGGGAGGGTGTGGGTGGGGTGTGAGGGGGAGGGGGTGGGTGGGGTTGAGGGGGAGGGGGTGGGTGGGGTTGAGGGGGAGGGGGTGGGTGGGGTGAGGGGGAGGGGGTGGGTGGGTTAGGGGGAGGGGGTGGGTGGGTTGAGGGGGAGGGGGTGGGTGGGGTTGAGGGGGAGGGGGTGGGTGGGTTGAGGGGGAGGGGGTGGGTGGGGTTTGAGGGGGAGGGGGTGGGGTGGGGTTATGGGGAGGGGTGGGTGGGGTTATGGGGGAGGGGGTGGGTGGGGTTATGGGGGAGGGTGTGGTTGAGGGGGTTGCGGTTGGAGTGGATGGGGTTGAGGGGGTGGATGGGGTTGGTGTGGTAGGAAGGGGGTGGGTTCGTTGGTTGCGTGGGTGGGAGGGGTTGCGTGGGTGGGTGGGAGGGGTTGCGTGGGTGGGTGGGAGGGGTTGCGTGGGTGGGTGGGAGGGGTTGCGTGGGTGGGTGGGAGGGGTTGCGTGGGTGGGTGGGAGGGGTTGCGTGGGTGGGTGGGAGGGGTTGCGTGGGTGGGTGGGAAGGGGTTGCGTGGGTGGGTGGGAGGGGTTGCGTGGGTGGGTGGGAGGGGTTGCGTGGGTGGGTGGGAGGGGTTGCGTGGGTGGGTGGGAGGGGTTTGCGTGGGTGGGTGGGAGGGGTTGCGTGGGTGGGTGGGAGGGGTTGCGTGGGTGGGTGGGAGGGGTTGCGTGGGGGTGGGGTGGTGGGTGGGTGGGAGGGGTTGCGTGGGTGGGAGGGGTTGCGTGGGTGGGTGGGAGGGGTTGCGTGGGTGGGTGGGAGGGGTTGCGTGGGTGGGTGGGAGGGGTTGCGTGGGTGGGTGGGAGGGGTTGCGTGGATGCCCGGGAGGGGTTGCGTGGATGCCCACGTGACGCGGCGACTCGCGCGCGCGCGCTCCGCTGAGTGGAGCCTGGCCTAGGCCGCGCCGCGGGGTCAGTGCCTCGGGGCGAGACGAGAGAGACGCGAAGACTTGCGGGGCGACTCGCGGGGCGACTCGGCCTCTTCGGCGATCGACTCTCGTGGGGCGAGTCTCTCGCCCTCGGTGAAGAGACTCGCAATGATCCACGTCGGCACTTCGAGCCTCGCCATGAAAGGCTCGCCGTGCCAGTCTCCCGCCTCTCCTCCACCGCCGCCGTCGTCTCCTCCGCTGGAACCAGACGGCCGCATCGAAACAACGGGGATGGTGAGACACGGTGTAGGTACACAGAGGGTCAGAGGAACATGTAGATGTGTAGATACATCCAGAGAGATGGCAGGAATGGAGAGATACGGAGAGACATACACGCACAGAGAGATACTGTGCACAGCGCGATACACACGTGTGGTGTACAGTACAAAGTTCTCCCATGTTACCTGACGTGGGGGCAAGTGCTGTTAGGCGAGCACCTATTAAGGCACACGAGGGGCTGGGTGGCCAACACCAAGCCCTGGCTGCCTTTGTCTCGATGTTTATACACCGCATCAGGTACGAATTTGAGGCTGAGTCGATCTAGGAGAAGGCTCATGACCGGTTCAGATAATCGTCACTGGTGTTGGCCGTGAGAGGGAATTGAACTCAGGTCGCCCGGTTCGTCGCCCTGTTCAGTACACACAGATACACACAGGCAGAGAGATGCACAGAGACGTAGAAAAATGCCCATACAGACAGATACATACACAGAGATACACATTTGGTAATCGATCAGGATTTGTTTGACAAATCTGACTGCTGATGAGACCCATAATGTTGAAAACGGACCAGAGATTAATTCTAGATTTGAAGCTTTCGTGACTGCAAGTATTCAGACTCTGGTTTTTTCGGTAAAGTCACGTAGGTAAAAATAAAATTAATGAATACAACTAAATTAAATCACGACGTTTCAATTGCAGCACAAGCAATCATCATCAGGTGTGACAATCACAGCAAGGCAATTTAGATGGTAATATTGGTCTTGAAAGTCAACAAAGTCGAGATGTGAGCACCAGCCACACAGACGCACATGGGCACATACACATCTGTACATACACGCATCAAACACACGGGTGAGTGTAGCTTACAGGAATAACTGAGGAACGAACACTGGGACGATGAAGCGCGTGGTTTGTGACGTCTGGAGCTGCACTTGTTGCCCAGAAGCTTATGTCTCTCTCCCGCTCCCCTCCCCTCTTTATTTCCCTCTCTGTTCCTCCGTGTCTACCTCGTCTCCCGTAGCTGATGGAAGTCGAAGTGGAAGATGCCCCTGCTGCCGACCCTGCTTCCGACCCTGCTGTTACTGCCACAGTCGTGGTGGTGCCGAGCAAGCAGAAGACGCAGTACAAGCAGAAGTACACGGCGGCGTGGGAGCGCGTTCCGGCACTCAAAGGTGCGTGGAGCCCTAGGATAGGATCGTCTCTGGGAGAGTTTACCCTGGGGGGGAACAGCTTTTGGAGTTTACACATTTTGTTGACAACGACGACCACCTACCCATCGATCAAGACGTCAACAATGTACCTGGGCCGTACACTCACGTCCAGATCCCAGATCCAGAATAATTATTGTGAACAGATTGGAACAATGTGGACGTCCGGAATAAACACCTCCTAATTGGAGACCCAAACATTGCAACTCCTGCCTTTGACTTTCAGAATCATAATCTTTATACTTGAAGAATCTGATTAACTACGCAACTCTTATTCTTTGGGTCTTTCGGTAAAGTCACGTAGATAGGTTCAAAGAAAATAACAAAAACAAGCGGTCGTCTTCCTGAAGGCGACCGCTTGTGTTGCGAATGAAACGTCGGTAGTTTTTGGTTTTTATTATTTTCTTTGAACCTATCTACGTAACTTTACAGAAAGACCCAAAGCATATTAATTCCTGCAGTCACGAAAGCTTTAAGTCAACAACTCTTTTTTTACAGATGTCCTCGAAGAACATCAACAGGCCGTATGTGAACACCTTCATAAATGGAGAATTAATGACAAGTCACAGTGTGAATGTGGTCATGCAGCCCAAATTATGATCCATATAATAAACCTCTGTAGTCTATGCTTCCTTTAATTAGTGGAATACCAAAATTACACAGACTGTCCTGAAGCCCTCATTGCAGCTAGCAGACCTTGACATTGATATTTAGCTCCTGAAGATATTGCTATAGGCCAGGATAGAATAGCTTTGGAGAATGGTCGTGGATATGGTTAGTGCTGGTAAAACTGGTGATG